CTCGTGAAGATCCCAATCAGATACTACCTCTTGTTATTAATATAATACCTAATTGACTAATTTAGAGAGAATAAGAGAACTCAATAAATTACTTTATAGTATATATATTTATTGTTTTTCTCCAAATTAATATGCTTGACTTATAAACTAATATATAATTTAGTATTTCAGAAAGATTATGTAACATATACTATATTTAAATTATTTATTTAGTTTTTTTAATATTTTAAAATTAATTAATTGGATTTTATATTAAAGATGAAAGGTAGTACATCATCAATATTGAGTTCATTGACTAGTAGTTGAGGTTAGGATAAGATCAAGGGTGACACCAAAGGTCATTGGTCTATAATTCGCCATTGGCGATTGACAAATCAGATACTAAAAGCCATAACTTTTAACCTCTTATTCAATACCGCTTGAAAATGAGATGCAACTAACATACCCTCTAGTCATGAATTGGAGGAACCAAGAAGTAGTTATCTAATTAATTAAAGCTGTCTGAATTTGGTCCAGAAAAGACAAACTTGTCAATCAGCTATGAAAGCCATTCATGCCGGAAGAGAAGAATAAAAATATCTCTATCTCTGATCTTAAATATACGACTAAACAGTGAATTTATTTTCATTTTAAATATAAGATCTTTATTTATTCTACCTTCAAAATTTATAAATTTTTATCCAAAATATTCTCATTGATCCCAGACAATGAATGAGTTCATCACTATATATGGTCCTAATAAATATAAAATTTTAATCTATTTTGCCTTTTAAATTTATAATTTTTTATCCAAATATTCCTATTGATTGCACTAATGAGGCTCTCAATAAGAAATAGTCACAAGACGCATAGAAAATATGATAATTTAGAGAAATCATGGCACATTTGTTACATAAATAACTTAATTAATTTTTTTATTATCTACAAATTAGTTATCTAGTTTTTATATTAAAAATTGGAGGTAGTATTGAAAAAATAACACAGAAAAAGGAAAGGGAAGAAAAGCTGTTATTATGCTTCCAATTAGGGTTCTGGGTTTTCTTGGTGCTTTCCAATGTTTTCCTGATTAAAGATATATTGAATTCCATAATACAAAACGCACTTAGGGGTACTTTAGAACGAAAGAAAATGCAAATCAGAAGGTGATAATAATTTTGTCTTTGTTTGGCCAATTCATTGTCTCTTTAAGATGGAAATAGATAATTATAATATGCTGATCTTATATAACTATCTTAAAAGATACTCACTCCGGTTTAAAAAATTATCAAAAAATTAGTTAAAGTCAGTTCAAAACAATAAATATGTAATGGATGTATTCCCCCCCCCCCCAAATATGCCTTGTTAATGAAGAGAATAAATAAAAGATGCAATAAATGAATTAAAAAGAAAAAAAAATATATTGAGGTAAAATTGAAAAAAAAAAAACTCATCAAATGCATAGATAAAAGTGAATATTATCTTATAAAAAAAAAACTAAGTCCCTCCAACTAAGTTTAGCTTGGGTTTTGAACTGGAGGCAATAAAAGATGAAATTATGTAACTTTATGATATTGAACAGTTTTATATACTACCTTTAATTCATAATATAAGATTAAGTTTGTAGTTCAACTTGAATTACAAACTAGGTCTTATCCTAAATATCGGATTTAATATTATCATATAGTTACACTACTATCATAATACTTGAAGGTTAATTCAAAACACCTTGAATTTGCAAATATAGCTAACAAGATTTTCTCAGAAGAGGTATGGATGATCCATATCTTAATTTAGGATTTAAGATATAGATCGATTATTAATAAATTAATACTTGATCTTTGCCAAAGAAATAAATAATTAAATTACAATAAAAATCGATAAATTCTCTGGTTAGCTGGTTGTAATAAAAGTCACTTTCAATTAATTCATCTAAGAAATGATAGTTAACTCATTAAATTTGTCTTAAATTGAAAAAAAAAAAATCAACTTTATTCATAGTAAATGAGGTTTTGGAAGAGAGAGAAAAATATAAAAAGCGTCGTTTGAGCATTAAATATAAAAATCAGTCTTACAATGTAGTTAATAACAATAATGAAGTTGTGAATACAAGAGTTGACACCCATGTTACAAATGTTAAAAAAATTCAGTTTAAAAAACCTAAAAAACACATTGTTAATTAATGGCGTTAGTGGAGTTGACAACCATGTTACAAATATTATAACTTACTAGATTCACTAACATTTTTAAATTTCAATTTAGTCATTATATTGATTTGAAATTTCTCAAATTCAGGTCATTTTTAAAATTCAACTATGATTTTGCTGAAATTTTTTTAAAAAAAATTATAAGGATCCGATTCAAAATTTGATAAAATTAGAAGGACTAGCAGATAAAATTTTCTACATAACAATATAAAAATATAAGAATTATAAATTAAATAAGATTTAATACGAGCTGCCGAAATCATATGATGCTAAGGACCATATAATTAATGCGTGATGCAGGCATGCAGCCAATATGATGTATTCTCCTCTGCATAATTAAAATTAATTGGAGACAAAGATGATTCATAAGATTGAAAAGTGCTTTTTCCCGGAAATTGGTTTTATATGATTTTCTAAGAAAATGAAATATATCATCTCCTACAATTATACGCAGATATTCTTCAAATTTTTATTGGATCTCCATTGTTCAGTGGTCTTTGTCTTGCCCATCGCGTCATTGTAGTGGATCTAGGACCCTCTTTCTTTGCAGGGAGTTATTTGGGAGGATACTTAGCTCTAATTCATTAGGTCATGTGTAGAGCCGGTAATATAGGTTGGACCCGGGGGTCCAACCCGCCAACCCGCCAAAAATGACGGGTTAGGGTTGGCCAAAAACCAACTTGCCACTATCTTGAAAAACATAACTCGCACCGCTATAACCCTAACCCGCGGCGGGTTGGCCCACCAACTCGTGGGCCAACCCGCGGGTCAACCCACTTATTTTTTTTAAAAAAAAAAAGATAGCAAAGGCAAAAGTAAAGCAAATTTTTACTTCAACTTTATTGTCATTAGAAATAATTAGATAAAGAAGGTTATTCAGTATTGCTCATTGGTTTCATTGAAAAAAAAGTGTGAACTTGTGTATTATCATGTTGGAAAATTAGACAATCATATACCATTTGTATTTTATTATGCTGTAATTTTTATTTGGATGTTTGTAATATTTTATATCATTTCTAGTATTTTTATTTTGTATTATATATAACTGCTAACATTAAAAAAAATAAGAAAAATTAAAAAAAAAGCAAGAAAAATAATAATAAAAATTCTGGCCCCAATCCGCCAGAAAACGAGCCTTTTGAGCCCGCACCGTGTAACCCGCAACCCGTCACGGGCCAACCCGCAACCCGCGGGTTGGCCCGTTTTACCAGCCCTAGTCATGTGTATCCATTACTCTAATCATATTTTGCCACATATATTATTTTGCCCCATAAGCATTTCACTCCGGATCCCGATGGAAAAATGATTTACCCATCACGTTGTTGTAGCGGATCCAAGACCCTTTTTCCTTTTTCTCTTTGCGGTGCAAGAAATTAGCCAATTTTATTTAAAACATTATCGGATATTAACTTTGAACTTTTCGCCAGCAAGAATTTAAAGCTTAGTTCATTGTATCATGAGAAATTAAAGCCTTTTTGGTTGATCACTAGATCCAACCCTGTTAGTGGATTAAAGACCTTGCTATTACTAATATTTTATGATAAAGTTGTAACATTATTCAATTTTTCTTCATATTTATAATATATTTTTAAAGGTGTATTGAAGTTTATTATATGTATATATATAATTTTTTTACCACCATATGTATATTTATATAATTAAACCATACTTTGAACAAATTTAAATGGGATAAATATATAATGATACAAAGTTGTGTTGCAGAAGCAAGTATGTAAATATCAATAACCAATATTTCTCCTTTTCCCACATAAAAAACTAATATTGCTTGGAAGGGGGGGGGGAGGAAATGACTTGTACTTCTTAAGTTAGACTGTAATAAGTCATGAATTTCAATATTATTGATAGAAACAGAATCTCTTTAAGAGAATTATCACATGCAGAAGTTTCTACTCCATTCATGAGTCATTGCCTAGAAGGACTTTTGAAAAAAAAGAAAACACTAGAAAGAACTTGATTAAAAAATCTCCTTAAGGGAATTATCACATATATGCAGAAATTTCTAGTCCATTCATAAGTCATCGCCTAGAAGGACTTTGAAAAAAGAAAACACTAGAGAAATTATAAAGACCACAGATTAACTTTTCCAAAAAAATATAGTAAATGATACTCTATTAGTTCTTAACATAAGGGCTACTTAATTAATTTATATAGATAAAAAAATCAAATATATTAATCAATTATAACAACATGAACTTCCTAAAATATTTTTAGAATCAAAACAAGTTAGGTAAATTATTTTGAGATAAAATGCTAAATATGAGAGACAAAATAGATTGAAGTCTAGCATGGAGGCATATCCTAACCCTAGTAAGTCCTCAAGCCCTAACTCATCTAAATTTTTTATTACGAGGAAAAAGTAGATTAAAGTTTTATATTCATCACCGAATCCAATTCCTAAGCTAATTCTTGTATTAGTGTGTCCATAGTAAGTACTACCTCCCGTCCTCAATAAAAAAAAAGTATGTAACTAATTTGGCTCGTTATTTATAATAAATGAATATTTCTTTTTCTAAAATATATTTATTAATCATGTGTATTGAAACTACCCCTTGATTTAGACTCCTTAACATCTCCAATCACCTTATATAGGAATTATTTGGAGACAAAATTGATGACAGAGTGAATTGAGATATTGTAATTATGACCAAATTGAATATTCAACTAGCTCATATATTAAGAACCCGATGTAATACCATTCATAATAAATCATGGTGCTTTAGGGGCGGGGACCACAGTCTGGTTATATATATATATATATATATATATAGACTGATGAGGCTGGGCTCTAATTGAGAACCACAAGAAAAATGCAGAAAGCTTGGGTGTACGAAGAATATGGCTCCGTGGAAGAGCTTAAGCTCAGCAATAATATTCAGTGTCCTACTCCCAAACATAACCAATTGCTCGTTCAAGTTCGAGCTGCTTCTTTGAATCCGATTGATTGCAAGAGGCGTCAACGTCCCATCTTTCCTTCAGATTTTCCCGTGAGTAATTAAAATTCAAGTCCTTCACATATTTTTGAACTTCAACTTTGTTATTTCTTTTAATCTTTTATATGTGTGAGGTTTAAAGTACGTCCCTGAACTTGCCAGATCAGTTCAGTTTTGAATTGCCTGTTATGGTACTGTGCTTAAAAGTAGAAGAGCAATTTTAGTAATATTTACAAATCAGATCATTTTCAACTAAAAATACGCAAGAGATTCAATCACATGCATGCATATATATACACATATATACTAGCTTAAACTTCCTTTTTCCTCTCTTTTCACCTTCAATATATTAGAGATGAGAGAGAAGTGTGATTAAAGTCATTAGTGTATGTCCCTTTAGTAATTTTTGTTGTTGTTGTAATTACATGCAATTGCAGGTGATCCCAGGATGTGACATGGCAGGAGTGGTGATTGCAAAAGGTATTGCCGTTACAAAATTCAAGATTGGCGACGAAGTCTACGGTAACATCCAAGACTTCAACAATGGAAAAACATTGAAACAGCTTGGAACACTGGCACAGTTGATAGTGGTGGAAGAGAGTTTAGTTGCAAAGAAACCGAAGTGCCTTTCGTTCGAGGAGGCGGCGAGCTTGCCGTTGGCGGTTCAGACGGCGGTGGAGGGCTTCGAAACCGGAAAGTTTAAAGAAGGGCAGAACATGTTTGTGGTAGGTGGAGGAGGCGGTGTTGGAAGTTTGGTGATTCAATTGGCTAAGTATTTGTATGGAGCTTCTTGTGTTGTGGCCACAACAAGTGCTCCTAAAGTTGAGTCTGTGAAGAAGCTGGGTGCTGATAAGGTTGTCGATTATAGGAAAACAAACTATGAAGACATTCATGACAAGTTTGACTTTGTCTACGACACAGTTGGTAAGTTCTTTTATGACTTTATCTCCCTAGCTAGCTTCAATCATCATACCCTTATAATTTATTGGATTTAATTTCTCTTTTAAAACCACATGAGGTTCTAAAAACGGGAAAATCCAAAAAAAAAAAAATCTTTTGAATTTCAAAATTCTAAATTAATTTTATGCATTATAATTTAATAGCAATTGATAACACTTAGTGCCTGTTTGGAAACACTTTTTTAGAGCTTATAAGTAGCTTATAAGCTCTATAAGCTCTATAAGCTCAATTGAAAAAAGTAGGGTCTGTTTGGCAACACTTATTTGTAATCGGGCTTATGTCTGAAAAGCTACAATAAGCTATAAGCTAAAATTAACAGCTTATGGCTTATAGCTTATGGCTTATGGCTTTTGAAATATGAAGAGAGAAAAAGTTAAGAAATTTATTACTTCTTTTGATTCTTATTATAAGCCTCAAATAACTAATTTGTAGATAATAAAAAATCAATTAAAATTAGTTGAAAGTAATGAATAAGTTAGAAATATATTTTTTTTTAAATATGCTCCTAAAAATATACTTTTATTTTTTATGTTTCACTTTATATTTAAAATATTTTTTATGACTTCTTCATATTAAATTATTTTAATTTCATTGTATTATGTGAAATTATTTTTTTAATCATGTTTTATTATTTATTAAAACTCATACCCATTTTGGCAATTTTTCAGCCAAAATTACTTTTACTCAACTATAATCCAAACAAGCTTTTTCCAATCTCATTTTTGTAAACTAGCTTGTCTGAACTCCAATCCAAACACAATTCAGCTTATCCAATTTAACTTTTACCAACTTCACTTTTCCATAAGCTACTTTTTCTATAAGCTGCTTTTCCAATCGCTGATCCAAACGGACCCTTAGAAAGAAAACAACACATTTTTATAGTAATTCTTAGTTTGGGATTCTGAAATTGAAGAAGTATTATTTTGTTTTTTAAAAAAATTCCTTTGAAAACGGGGGAGAAAAAGCACAAAAATATATCCTCAAATTTGCAAATCTGAGCCCAATTCGAGATCCCAACATACCCTAATCACCGTGAAGTTTCTAGGGGTTAGTCTAGGATTAAATTTTTTAGCAAAATTATATATAAAAGCCTTAACTATCACTATCTTAAATTGTTTTCATTTGATAAGTTAAATTTGTTACTTATTAAATTGTCGTTATTATTGATATTTAACAACCTATTAATACTAGTTAATGCAGAAGTAAAATTAGTTGTTGCTATCTTAATTTATCATTTGATAAGCTAAACTAGTTACTTATTAAATTGTTGTCGTTTCATTTTTTTTCATATTTCAAATCAAGCGTTTAGTTATAAAACTTATTTTCAAACTAATTCTTAATTAAAAACTTTACAGTGACTAGGGTATAATTTGGGAGTCTCGATAGTATTTTCAGATTCATGGTGCTTTTATGTCGTTTTCCCTTGAGACAAAATTAACAATCATACCGATATATATGGTTCATATCAACTAAAAGAATTATTTGGAGAGTAAATTGTAAGAATTTTACGATTTTATTGAAATTGCATGGCTTTTCTTTTCATTTTTTAACATTCACACAAACTTTTCCCAAAAGAAAAACATTAATTTCTATTAACCTCCCTTTTGCATTTTTTTCCTTTTTCTATTTCCAAAACAGTTTTTAACAAGACAATAGGAAGCACTAATGAAGAAAAAGCAGTTTTAAAACAAGTTAAAAAGGTATTTTAACACCATTTCTTCAATTGGTGTAAAGAGAGTCTAACTAATTATTGAACCTATGCAGGAACAAACTATTCTACGCCGATTTTGCCAACCGGCATAAAAAAAGGTTAATCAAAACAAAAAATACCTTTCACTTTTGGCAGTAAAGAAAATCACACTATCCACCTCGATGTAGAAAATCCATATTGACCTGGAAAAGGGATTTTCTACACCGATTATTGTTAACTCTCATAAGCACTTAAAAAATTTTTTTTACATAAACTAAAACAAAACGTTTTTCAAATACTTACCTTGGATTTCGTAAAATTATTTTCAAAAAATAATTCAAACACCGCCTTAACTAATATAGAGCAATTGTTTAACCAAGGTAAAGAGTCACAATCTTGCTTCTTATCAATGAAATTATCACCAATTATGCTTTCTGCACCGGCTATATACTACAATAGGTGTAGAAAAATCGCCGTAAAAAAAATGTTTTACAGTAGTGAAGACATTGAGGATAAGTTTGATTTTGTTTATGACACAATTAGTCATACCATTATTATGATTATGATTATTATTATTATTATTAGTCTCAATTCCTTATATTTTCAAATGAACTACAACCTCAATTATTTTACCCTTAATGAATGATATAGGCAATATGGTTCATATAATTATTCTACCTTTATCTAATACTCCTATTAATGGATTATTATATATATATATATATATATATATATATATAAGTACGCGTGAATATTAGGCAGACAGCACACATGACCAAAGTAGTGGAGGAAAAAAATTTTGCGACGGAGCTTGCCTAGTCTGTGCGGTCCACATCAATTAAAAGATATTTTGCGGGTGAATTATAACAATTTTCTAAGATTTTAACAAGGATTTCATTTCTTAACTCTTTCTTGAAATATAACAACTTTTCAATATATACATTTTAAAAATAATTATCTACACTATAATAAATGAATGATAAAATAGTAGGTTTATCTTAAAAATTTAACGAGGTGACTTGTAAATAGAACTAAGAAAAACCATTTAAATAGGACAAAAAGTGTGTGTGTGTATATATAAAACACAATTTAAATATAGGAAAACACACAAAAATGTTAATATCAAGTTTGAGTTTCTGACCTCATTCAGACGTGATCAGGAACGTTGCTACTAAGATAAGTTGCTGTTAATGAATAATATAATATTTCAGGTGATAGTAAGAACTCGCATGTGGCAGCAAAAGATGAAGGGGTCATTGTGGATATAACATGGCCTCCCTCGCATCCAAGAGCAATTTATTCAAGCTTGACAGTTTCTGGGGAAGTCTTAGAGAAACTAAGGCCATGTTTGGAGAGTGGCAGGCTCAAAGCTGTGATTGATCCCACAGGTCCCTTTGCATTTAACGACGTCGTTGAAGCTTTTCGATATCTTGAAACCGGACGAGCTTGGGGAAAAGTCGTCATCTCTAACTTCCCTTCTTGACAATAATAAATTAATAATAACGGTTTTCTCTTATAAATTATATATTTATATTAATTAATTGCTATGATGGTTGTCATTGATTATTCCTCTATATATAAAAATGGGAAATGGCTTTCATTGTAACTTTAATAGCCAAATATACATTGTAATTTTTACCTAAGGTAATAATATATCCTTTTTAAACAGTGGGCTTTTGAGATTATTTTACCTCTTAATTGTCCCAAGGCTTGATGAAGAACAATTTTGGGGGAAATAAAGATTGAGTGAAATTGGATTAATGGAGTTCATTTGGGCTGGGCTAAATCCATATTCATAAATGAGAAAGCCTAGCAAAAGCATTGGGCATAGGGCCCATTTTATACCCAAAATAACAGAGAAGGCCTTGAATGCTGGCCCAAATGGAGATTGGGTTGTTATACACACACACTACATCCGTTCCTTAATATAAGAACTTGTTTGACTTTTATTTTAGTCTTAAATATAGGTCCCCAGTCCAATTTATCTCTAATATTTATCCTTTTTTTTCCCTAAAGTAGTTCTTGTTATAATGTTAGTTATTGCCAATACACTTGATTATCAAGGATATTTTAGAAAAAATAACACGCATTTATTACAAATAATTAACTTAATTAGTTTTCTTAATTTACTCAAATTAGTTCATTATTTTTTACATTAAGGACCGGAAGTAGTATATTTATATAGGGGAAAATTGCATGTGGAGAATTCATTCAAGGATGTACTGTTGAACACTAATCGGAACTAAGTATAATGAATGGGTTAGTTTCTCATAATGTAGTGAACTAAATTTTACCTAATCACTAAACCAATAGCTTCCTCTACCCTGAAACCTTTCTGTTGAGGAAGTAATGATTGCAAGGATAACACTTGCTTGCTTGAATGACAACTCAGGGGAAGCAAATCCTCTGTTCTTCTTCCTTCTTTGCTTATCAAAATCTCATAGGATTTATGTGTAAATTTATTCTGAAAATTTTAGCACAAAAGTGTTGGGTAGTTCCAAGTTTTTTTTGTGCAAATTTACACTGAAAGTTTAAAATTGTAACAATTTTTTTACTGATAAAAAATAAACATTGACCATTAAAAAAGTGACATCGACTATTAACATTTTTAACTGTAATGGGTAACAATGCAACGATTTTAAAATTTTCAGAAAAAAATTTGTACACAAAAAAAACTTCCAAATGCATATTGCTCCTTGGTGAAATCTTTTTAAACAAATTTATACCTCAACTCAAATCTCATATTCATCTCTGGACAAAAGAGGTTGAGATTTAATATTTTAACTATTCAAAACATGTGAGGCTTGAACATTATTCAGTGAGCAGTTTGTAAATACTAAATAATTTAATTTTTCTAAATTATATTTGGCAATGTTGCTGTTGACAACCCCTAAAATATGTATTTGATTTAATTTAATTTTATTGATATTATTAAAATATATAATTTAATTTAATTTTACGCTATTCAACACTGCATATATATATATATATCTGTTTTATTGCAAATACTAAATAATTTAATTTTCCAAATTTGTCACAAATAATAGGAGGGGAGAATTCCAATTAAATCCAGCCGAAATACCTAAATTCATATTTAGGCCTACACTTTTAGCAAATTTCTAATTAGGCCATGAGATCTAATTAGGGATTTTTGAATGTTGTTAAATCACCAAAATGCCCCTCTTCAATTAAAAAGAAAACTTGATTAATATATCTCTCCCAAGTAATTCCTCATCTCTTATGATTTTTTTTAGACCAAAAAACATATAAGTAATTTTACAATGTTTGAAATTTGTATATATAACTTATACTATTAAAAATATTTTAATAAAACATGTTAAATTACAAATATAAGTAAAATTATAAATATTTTTTATTTTCAGTTCTTGTAATTTACGTTAGTTTTATTTATTTAAACAATGTTGGATCGAACTGAAAACGTAAATGATTACGATTTAATATTAAATTTTTATTATAATTAAAATATTTTAAAATTTTAAAATAATATTTACAACCTGAAAAGAAAAAAATATTAAAAATATTAGTTAAAGATTACATATATTATAATTTGAAATGTTTTATGAAAATATTTTGAAGATTTTAGTTATATTACAAAATTTCAAACACTAAAAAATTATTTATATTTTTTTGTCTAAATATTAATAATAAGAGATGATGAACCACTTTAGAGGGATAAAATAATCAATTTTCATTTTTAACTAAAGAGGGGCATTCTAGTTACTTAATAATATTCAGCAATTTCTAATTAGGTCTTATATCTTAATAAAAAATTTATTAAAAGTATAGGCCTCAATTTAATTTTAAGTATTTCAGTAGGATTTAATTAGGATTTTCCCGTAGGTTCAACTCCGCATTAGCGCGACATTGCAAAGACAAGGAACTAAGCTATAGTACAGATAACGACTATTGTTCAACATAGTCTCCGTGGCTTTGAAAAGTAGAGCAATGCACTGTACTGTTGCTGTCCTTTGGGTTAATAAATGTCCTCACCTGCACACCCACTCCAATGTTTGTATAGATGAATACGTGAGAAGAGTTTTATCTACCGCATTTTCAAACGCTTCAAAGTTTGAAAAGTAAGCAATTCTCTCTTATTGTCCTTTTGGGGGGTAAATGAAAAAATCTGGAAAATATCACCTTCATGACTTTTCTTGCACTACGCAGTTATTGGAGCTGTAAAGATGCTTATCTTTATCATAAACAGACCCCAAATTCGCCATTCACACACTCAAATTCATTATCTTCTCTGTGATTTCATTTCATTTAAACGTTAAAATACTTATAGCCAAGTCATCATGGTGCTCAAGTTCAAAAAGGCTGATTCAGCTCTTTATCCACTTCTGGCCTTATGCCAGATTCTCTCTATAACATTCTTCTTCTGTACTTTGCTGTTCTCTAATTCATCGCTCGCTAGCAGTGAGGAAGCAAACGCTCTTTTAAATGGAAAGCCACCCTTGGGAATCACAGTCTAGCTACCTTGTCTTCTTGGAAGAATGGAACAGATCCTTGCAGGAACTGGAAAGGAATTACATGTGATGAATCAATGTCTGTCTCCATTATAAATCTTACCAGGTTGGGGATAAAAGGTACACTTAACAGTCTCAACTTCTCATCTTTTATTAAACTCCAAGCTTTAGATATCAGTCAGAATGAGTTTTCTGGGATTATTCCTCGCCAGATTGGACTTGTCTGCTTGTAGAATTCTTACGCTCAATATGAGTCATAATTTCTTGAGTGGTTCTATCCCTCGAGAAATAGGAGCCTTGACTAGTCTGAACATGCTTTCTCTTAGTGTGAATAATCTCACAGGAAAAATTCCCAGAGAGATCGGAATGCTGACTGATCTCACAGTGCTTGCCTTGCAAAGAAACACTTTCTTGGACGACAAAATCCCTTCTGCAATAGGAAATTTGACCAAACTGCAATATCTTTCTCTCTTTCGAAATAATCTGTGGGGTCTCATTCCTTCTGAGTTTGGGAATCTCCATTCTCTCATCAGTTTGCAACCGTCAAATAACAATTTGCACGGACTAATTCCATCTTCTTTAGGGAACTTGATCAAATTAGAAAATCTCAAGCTTGGAAATAACGCTCTTTCCGGAACTATTCCAGCTTCCATAGGAAATCTAACTCATCTCAAGATCCTTGATCTGAACAAGAACAAACTGGGTGGGCTCATTCCAATAGAGATGAATAATCTTACAAACTGGAAAAACTTAGAGCTTAGCGAGAATGATTTCACTGGCCATTTGCCACAACAGGTTTGCCTTGGTGGATTACTTGAACATTTCACTGCATGTGCGAATAATTCACTGGCCCAGTTCCAAAAACCTTGAAAAATTGCTCTAGCCTTATCAGACTCAGACTTGATAACAACCGATTGGTTGGAAATATCACAAGTGATTTTGGTGTGTACCCAAATTTGAAATACATTGATTTGAGTGGCAATAAATTTTATGGCCGCATTTCATCTACGTGGGGGAAAATGCTATAATCTCACATCACTTAGGATTTCCAACAACAATATCTCTGGAAGTATACCTCCAGAAGTTGGAGAGGCAACCAAACTTGGGGAATTTAATGTCTCATCAAATCAATTGACAGGAGAAATTCTAAAGGAAGTGGGAAAGATGACCTCATTGAGTAGACTTTCTTTAAGCAACAATCGATTTTCAGGCAAGATTCCAATAGAAATAGGGTCACTAAATCAACTTGAAGAATTGATGTTGTCAGATAATAATTTCACTGGCTCAATCCCCGAAGAGCTTGGAGGATTTTATAGGTTATGGCTCTTAGACTTGAGCAAAAATAAATTTACAGGAAGCATTCCCTTTGAGTTTGGTCATTTGCAGGCACTTCAAGAACTTGATCTTAGTGAGAATATGTTGTCGGGAACAATACCGCACTACTACAAAATGAAAAATACTTGACGGTTATTTTGGATCATATTTGATAGTTAAAAACCGTCAACTATACTGGCGTCATATATTTCAACAGTAAATATTTGACGGTTATTAACCGTCAAATATTTTAATCATACTTGATGGTTACTAAAGAAAAATCGCCAATTATTTTGAGATTATACTTGACGGTTCCAAAAACCGTCAAGTATTCTGTAATACTTGACAGTTCCAAAAGTGACCATCAAGTATTATGAAACATACTTGACGGTTATTTTTGAAAAACCATCAAGTATTATTTAATACTTGACGGTTTTAAAAGTAACCGTCAAGTATGTTAGAATACTTGACGGTTTTAACTAATAATCGTCAAGTATTATTGGTTTTTTTTTTAAAAATTCGTTCTCCTTTGCCAGCAGCCCCCTGCAATTTTGAAACCAATAACAAAGGCTCATTCAACAAAATCATGCAGGCCAGCATTCAAACCAATTCAGCCATATACATATATCTTAATGAATCGAAAATAATTTACATTATCATATATATACATGAACCAATGAAAACCAACTGTGATATATTAAAATTCTGGCAAGTACAAAAGGTGAACCAATTCCAAAATTAGCCAATTGCCAAAGTTGTGCAATGCCTAAAACTAACCAACAGCAAAAAATGAACCAAAACCAAAATTATATTGAAACCAAAGCTAGTTGTACGTACATACACTGTCTTAATGTACACTTCCCTATCTATGTTGTGCCCACTGACGGAATAAGGCCATCGCCAACTCTTCAACGATTTCTTCCATCTGAGCAGATGAATACACTGTGCAATATGTGTCGGCAAAGTACTGTATGCAACCACAAATTATGACTTAAGTTAGATAGAAATGTAAAGTTGCAGTAAGTACAATAATTCTTAAATATATAAATTGAATCTTAACAAATGCATATTACCTGCGTGGGAATTGTGTCAGCATTGTGCAGAATTATCTCCTTCATAAATTTCATCACGCAATATCCACAATGGGAGCTCTTGTTGGGCTGACGTGGGCACTATAAAGAATGGAAAAGGAAATAATATTAGTCAATCATATAAATAAACCATATTTAGTAGAATAGTAAATAATGGTAGTGAATACCTTCACTTTCTTCCACGGGAAGGAATCGTCAAATTGGCCGTTTTTTATCGGGGGGTAGGGTAAGGCCTGATTTGTGCGGTATAGCCACAAAGCCATGAGAAGACAATAAAATTGAATATTAATGATTGTCAAAAATTTGATTGAAGCAAGAAATTAAATTAAATTTAAATAATAGAGATAAATATTACTTGTTGAACAATGAAACCATAAATGGTCGATTAGTTGAATCCCCATGAAGAGAATCAAGATACCAAATCCTTGGCTTTGTGGGATTGACCACAATCAGCATCCAGTGTCCCCTAAGTATAAGAAAGACAATTAGAACTATTACAAATTATTTTGAAAATGAAAGAATTTAGGAAAGTTTACCCTTGACAATAAGGCGCCAAAAACAAAGTCTGAGCCCCCGGTGTTGCCCTAGAAATGAAGATATCCAATAAGTCTCTGGATAAGTCTTTCTTCATATTAGGTCCGTGGCCAGCAAAAGTGTGGGGGCTGATAATCTTGAACTTGTCATCAAGGCCACCAAGGGCTATGAAGTTCTTGAAAAGATATCTAAATCAACAAACGAAGATATCAATAGAATAAATGTTCAAGTACTTAAGTATTTAGTTAAGGTTTTAACAAATACCTGATATAAAAGTTACAGGCATTTGTGCTGGCCATTTCATGCGTTAGAATCTCTTTCAATACTTCATTTGTGACATAATCTGACGAGGGTCGACCGTATACCTCTGGCTCAAACTCTAGGGGAATCATGAAATCCTTGCCATGTTCTAATCTAGCCCCAATTGCATATTCCTTAAGACATATTCGGAATCTTGATGATACCACTTGAACGGGCTCAGATGGTTGCTTCTGTGGTGATGATAATGAGTGATCACCCAATAGGCTCTTCTTCCCCTTAGACTGACAAACAGACTGTTAGTAATTAAAATAGAGTTTATTTTAAATCAGCTGAATTTGTAGACCTATACATATGTACCTTTGAAGGGTGTCCTAATGTAAGAAGACGGCCAGGCCAAGCGACAAAGCTACCCACTGCTTGAGCTACTGTCTCTGCATCTGAGGTGGGTATCGGGAGGGCATAATTCGCATCAATAGCAGTGTTCAACTACACCCTCACATGATCAGCAAGGAGAGGAACATTATGAATTATACTCTCCCCCGGTAAATTGAACATGCGGCCCGTTGCAACAGTGTGATGTTTAGGGCTATCCGCCATACACTGAACGTCCGCTACACCCTGATTTGTTTAACATGAGAGACAAGTTAGCTAGATATATAAATTATTGAATGTAATTATATAAACACAAGTATTATACCTCAGGTAGCAAGGGGAATGTGCAGCTGTCTTTGCCACTTGGGCTGAGATTCGGAGCCGGCTGTGGTGCTTGATTCTTGATCAACTGCTCGATTAGGAGCGCTTGCGCTTTAACTTGCTCCTTTAACCAGCGTGTTTCTTCCTTCAGCTCCATGAACTCAGCAGAGGAAGGCGTGCACGATGAAGAGGGCTTTTGTCGGTACCCAAAGTAATCTCTCTTGGTGACTCCATAACCGACGCCCCTAAGAAGACCAGGATGGTCAGGAGTCCCCAATGCCCTCCTCAATATATCCTGGTCATCTGCAGAATATGCCCCCTGCGAAACTTCCTGGGACAAACTCTCCTGTGCAACAAACATTGATATAGTTATTCATACTTAAAGATATTTGACAATAACGTGAAGATTATTTAATTTAGAATAATACTCACCATCCTGTCCACGACCTCCTTAACGCGAGGATTATCAATTTGGCCATCTTTATTTTGCCTGGCCAGTGCCCACAGCATCTGACGTGATACAGTGACATCTGATCCCTCCTTCTGAGTCACCTCTTGCTCAAGGCCCGCATAACCCAAGCGGCCCTTTCGGTAGGGATACTCATTCTTCTTTACTCTTTCCTTATTTTGGGAACTTAATTCCTGCAAAAACAAAGTAGATTCACAATTAAACAATATATAGATTAAACAAAATGGACTATTTAATATCAAAAAGAGCGAGAATTATTACTTGAAATTGCCTATCACGACGTGACGTCACAAAAGCAGCCCAATCCTCTGGTTTGACCAAGTCCCGTATCAAGCTAGGAACCTGGGACTCGTCGGATGTGGAAGGATCCTTCAAGTACTTGTGTGTGACAAAATATCGGAAAGAGCGCAGTGCCCTCCCAGCCTTCCCCTCCACAAACCTCTTCCTGCTCTCATCTATATCAAATGCAGACTGCAAAACATATAAAACAACACATTAGTGTCACGCAGCTTATAAGAAAATGAAATTTGAGTTGTTATAATATATTACCGATACATCTGTCCAAATAGTGTCTCGCACTGAACGATCAACCCTCCTCCAGTGCTGCGCTGTAATGGGCACGGTGCTTCGTGCCACTGCCCCAATATAGCTGATAAATTTATTTGACCGTACAGCTTGTCCTTTCTTATTCCACTGTACGGCAAATTTCTTTCCTTCTGTTCGAGCTTTCACGACCTCTTGCATGACACAAAGGCCCCTCTGTATGCGTGCTGCCTCCTCTTGCAACTGTCTCTCCTGCTCAGAGGCATCTCTCGGCTGAGATGGGTTATCAGTGCTAGATCCGCTATCGTCTGCCATCTGCAATGAAATTGAAGTAAACAAAATGAATCAGAATCCATTAAATGAAAATAAAGTCATTAATGACGAAATTTATTTGAACAAAATTAAAACAAATAAAAGAATCAAAGAAAATAATGAGAGAATTTACATGCATGTTTAAGAAGATCTTTTTCTTTTTCTACTCTTATGTTTTTGCATGTTCTTCTTGGTTTGAATTGTTTTGATCTTCTTACGAAACACTTTCCCCCTCTTTGAAATCCATATTCCGTCGTTGTGATCATGCCTGACATACATGGATTGATCTTCATTTAAATGAGAATCAAGTGAGGCCCCTTGAAATGGATCATCTTCAATTGCATTGTCTTCATACCCCGTCTCTTCAATATCCATTTTATTAGTCAACAAAACAATAGACCATCCTTTGGCAGCCGGGTCAGGGACATAAAACACTTGTGTAGCCTGAGAAGCCAAAATGAATGGCTCTTCCTTGTATCCTTCTTTATTCAAATTCAATTGTATAAACCCTAAGTCATCAATCCTCAATGCATTATTATTATCCACCCATTTGCAACCAAATACCGGAACTCTGAATTCAATGTAATCCAACTCCCAAATATCCTCAATCACTCCAAAGTATGACATACGTGCATAGATAGGATTTTTATCTT